TGGGCCCTGCACCCGCATGGGAGACCAGAAGAAGCACCTGGCTCCTGCCTTCAGATCAGCGCGGTGCGCTGGTCACGGCGGCCATTGGAGGGTGAACCAAGGGCAAAGGAAGACCTTTCTCTCTGTCTCTCTCTTTCTCATTGTCCACTCTAACTGTAAAAAGAAAAAAAAAAAAAAGGGAGCTGAAACCCTATATTAAAGATCCTGAGAGGGGCTGGCGCTGTGGCACAATACGTTAATCCTCCCCCTGTGGCGCCAGCATTCCATATGGGTACCAGTTCTAGTCCCGGCTGCTCCTCTTCCAGTCCAGCTCTCTGCTGTGGCCCGGGAAGGCAGTGGAGGATGGCCCAAGTGCTTGGGACCCTGCACCCCATGGGAGACCAGGAGGAAGCACCTGGCTCCTGGCTTCAGATCGGCACAGCTTCGGCTGTTGTGGCCATTTGGGGGGGTGAGCCAACAGAAAGACGACCTTTCTGTCTCTCCTTCTCACTGTCTGTAACTCTACTTCTCATATAAAAAAAAAAAAATCTTAAGAAAAAGATCCTGAGAAAGGATATAGGCTCCAAAAGAGTACAGTAATCATACAGTGATGTCTGTCATGGTTACACTTGGGGAAGAATGGTCTATGTCAGACTGTTAAAAAGAATTTGAATGGTTAATTCCAGATGTTATTAAACACATTCCTTTCTTCCATCCTGAATAACATCTTCTTGTCTCTTGTCTTAAGCTATCTATATAAATTGCTTTAGTGTTTAACACAAATATAATCCCTTCAAAGATGGACAACAGTGGAATGAAGTCAAACTCAGAAGAGCCAACCAAGTAGGTACCGTAGAAATAACCAGCAGAAATTTGACTATAGCAACAAACTTCTTCAAAAAAACTTAACTGATACTTTTATCATACTGGTATGTCAGATGTGCATGGGCAGAAAAACCAAACCGCAGACCCAGCTGGTTTCAAGCAAGAACCTGTAAACAAAGCTGGGTAGTGTCAACTTTAGGACATCCATGGAGTCAGGTTGGGTCCAGTTTTTATGTTGCCATTCTTGCTTCAACTGCCATTTTGCAAACTAAACTAGTAAAGTCAACACACTGTACTTAAAGCTTAGAAGAAAAAGGAAAAACACTTGAAGGTACCTGTGCTTTTATTTCCCCACCCCTCTAAATATCAGGCATCTCACAGAGATACTTCTTACGTGACTTTCTCTTTTCAGTGGAACCTAAAAGGTAAGTTGGAAAATATGGCTCTGGCATATGTTGAAGAATATATGAAATGAAGATGAAGCAAAATACCTAAATTACAGGACTGTGGGATAAATTATCCAAAAAGGCCAATTATCCAATAATTCCTTGCATTCCAAAGAATAAAAATATTGTTTTATTATGACCTGTGAAGCCAGTTAAGACTTAGCCTTGACTTACTAGATACGTAACTTACTAGATACGTAACTCTGGGCAAAATTTCTGGGGTTCAGTTTCTACATCTGTAGAACTGGAACATAACTATCTCACACAACTTTGAAAATTAAATGTGATAATGGGCTTAATAACTGGAGTCTCCTCCACCTCCCCTGACCTCTAGAATCAACTGCTATTCAATCAGTGGAACTCTTTACGAAGATGGAAGCACAGTTATTCTTTGGTATCTACAGAGAATTGGTTCCAGTAATCCCCACAGATAACATCTACAGATGTTCAAGTCCTTATATAAAATGGTATAGTTGCATATAACCTATGCACATCCTAGTTACTTTAAGTCATCTCTACATTAATTGTAATAGCTAATACAATGTAAATGCTATGTAAATAGTGGTTATACTATTGACAAGAATGGTTATACTAATGACAAGAAAAGAAGTCTGTGCCGGATCAGTACAGAAGCAACCATACTAGTCCAAACATAAAAATGAGAGAGATGCAAGGCCAGACTGAGAATTTGTGAAACATGAGGTTACAGTAGGGTGTGACTACGTACCACTTCATTCAGGTGGCTAGTACTCAGAGCATGGCAAATTCAAGTTTAACTTTTTTGAACTTTCTGTAAGAATGTATTTTGACTGGTTGAATCTGTAGATGACAACATGAATATAAGGGGCTGACTATATGTACTCCATGAAATACCCTATCGAATTTGGTAGCCATGTGGCTGATAACACGTTATGTGGCTAGTGTTACTGAGAAACTCAACTTTTAATTATATTTAAGTTTACTTTATCATTGTGACTACTATATTGGAAAGCACAACAAGGTCATGACAACATGTTTATTTGAGGTTTTAAATCCTTATGGTAACTGGGGGAAGGTATAAAGAAAAACAAAATAAGGTTCTCCACAAGTTTATCTTAAAATCTAATTTACTAGAAATAGTCTATATAAGCTTTGTGTTCAAGTAGGACAGGAATACTTACCAACTTCACTGAGGAATTGTGGGACAAACTAAGATATGATATAGTAGGTGCTTAATAAATTTGGCTTCCTTTGTCCTTCCATATTTATTGTCTTACATGACCACACTTTCCTCACATATTGGCCAAGTGCCTGACCTGTTGCTAAATTTAATATTGACAAATGTAGTTAATGTCAACTGTTTGCCAAAATGTGTTTACTCTACTGCTACATTGTCAATATTTAAGTTTTTAAGAACCTGAACTTTAAAAATGTTATGATTAAAAATAAAAGTATGTTCTTCATTATGGAATAAAATCTCACAAAGCAATTAACTCTAAAACTATTACTGTGAAATGGGAGTATATACTGGTTATGTATAAAAACTAGGCTTTCTAGCTCTCTCTCAGCTCATTCTTTCAAGCTACTAAGATCCTCAGATACAGCATGCTGCATCTAAATAATTTTGCTACAAAACTGTTTAATTTATTTCAGGATGAAAATAAGAGCAAAATTGAACTTACAGCTCTTTCATAGCCAGGAATTGGCTTCAAGACTTTTGGTAAAGTGTTACTACAGTTTCTATTACTGTGAAACATCAACATATTTTAAGTCCCTATTAGCTATCTGGCTACCTTGCAGGTTCTTTTCAATAATAAAATATTCCAAATATTTCTATTAGGTTGTTGATCAATACCTAGAATAAAATAACACTCAAGCTGCTCATCAGGACCTGGGAGCTGGTGGAAGCTATCAAAAAGTGGCCTCCTCATTGCTATCTGATAGCCCCCTTGAAACTCAAGCCTCACAAAAGCAACCAATGTAACATCTATGACACTTAATTTTTAGTTTCTGTCACAAAACATTTGCCACTGGAGGCTGCCAAACTGAGTGTATGACTGTCTCTTCTAACTATCTGCAAATAGTGGTAAATCATAAAGTGTGGGGACTAATACACTTCTTTCACTTAATATTTTGCTTTTAGTTGGGTAAGCTCTGTATTAAGAAATTAAACCTACACACCATTTCTTATCACTGAACACTCTGTAATATCAATCAGGAGAAACTTTAGGAGGAACATACTATGTAAATCCTTGAGATAAAATTTCACTTGTCCCACATACCCTTAAGTATAAAAAATAAGTATTATCTGAATTGATACAAGGAACAGACATCTGGTATTCATATATAAACAAAAACAAATACTTTATATGCAATCTATAGTTGGACAGAATGCATAACAAACAGGAATACAACTAGGAAACAAATTCAATAGTTTTAACACCAAAAATCTCCAATTTCTTATCTTCCAATTAAACGACAAACCAAAGCACTTCCAAAATACCTGCCATGCAGCACGCACTGAAATCAAATATATTTTGTAAGTGTCAATAAATCTCATGGCCTAACAGATCAGACCAAGGTAGAAATGAGCTTGTTCCTAGACTGCCAGCCCCTTGACTTTAAGGGGTCGATGTACTCTTTCTAATAACAAGTCACTTTAAGTCTCTAACTTTATTATTTATTCTTATTGTAGTCACTTTTTTCAAAGTATCATTGCACAGCCAGGATGTACAATGTTGCTCAATTCTATGGAATACCAACAGGTTCCTTAAGTCTGAAGTTTATCAGCATGATTTGAAATGCATGCTACAACTACACTGTGAAGAGCTTCGAAATGAACACACTTTTCTGAAAGCAAACTGTAAAAATATTTAATTTTCAACTGGTGCATGCGGGATTTAAAGCTCTTCCAAGTTTTTTCTTAGTTCTGGTAATTGAAAACATCGGTCATTGTTACCTTGTTTGAATCTGAATATTCGCTTTCCTACCAGCAAAAAAGGAAAAAAAAGTCAAAAAGGTAAAAAGAAATAAGAGGAAAAGAAGAAAAAAAAAAAAAAAAGAGGCGCGCCTGCTGGGTATATGAGCTCCGCCCCCAACACTTAAGGGCGAATATCCTTGCCCATCTTTAATCAGATCTGCCTTCCCGACGGTCCTCATCCCACATACATTGTTAATCTTGGAAAGCATCTCAGAACGCAAACTGGTTTTAAAAGACGTTGCTTATACGTCTGGACTTCACAGCCTGGAAGGGCTGGGACTGGGAATTACGTGTCCCTAAACGTGGCCTTATGAGGAGTGGTAGGCAGAAAGGGAGCCGGATCAGTGGCAGAAAAAAGTGTGAATTACCAAGGCCGGAACTTTAGATCCCTACTTTAGAAATCTTCCCTCCCTCCAGCCCGCACCCATCCCCGGAATTAGAAAGCTCAGGAAAGGTGGAGGGCCAGTTCGGCTGGAGGCAACTATTTAAGGATTTTGCAAAATTCGGCTGAAGAAGACGCTGCGAGGAGAGACGGAATGGGAGACAGACGAACGCTGAGAGCTGGTCCCTGGGGTCCCAGGGGGACCCCGACCTGCGGGAAAGCCAACGGCGCCCGCAGCAGGGGGCGTGTGGGGGGAGGGCCGTCCCAGGTGAGGCAGCCCAGGCGCGAGGGTCCAGGCGACAAGAAGACTGGGCGAACTAACCTGGTGCCCAGGGGCCTCCCCGTCAGAAGGGGGAGTCGTGCTTGCACTACAGGGGGTCCTCCCGCTCCCCTTCCAACTCCTCCTCACCAGGGCCGTAGAACTTGCTGCCTTTGGTCACGTCGAAGACTTTCCCATTGACCGCGAGCAGGATGCGCGGGGTGCGGGACCCGTCGTATTGGCGCAGCTGCTCCAAGCTGAAGTCCCGCTTCTTCATGCGAGGCAGAGAGGCGGCGGGGCTCTCCTCGCCCGCCCCGGCCCCGGATCCCAGACCCCGCCGCCCCCAGCGCACCCACAGCCGGTAGGCCCCCAGCAGCACCAGCGCCACCAGCGCCACGTTCAGCAGCATCTCCCCGCCCCCCGTCAGAAGCGCCAGCACCGCCGCCGCCCAGCCGCCCCCTTCCGCTGCTGCTCCCGCGCCGCCTGGGCTCTCGCTGCTGCCGTCGCTGCTGCTCTCGCTGCCACTCCCCAGGGTGCCTAGCTTCACGTCCCCATCACCCGCCGCCATCACTGCCCGCCAGCGCCTTCCTCCTCCTCCCCGCCCCCTGCCCTCCCCAACCCCAGGCCGGCCCCGCCCATGAGGGGGGACTTCCCAGCCAATAACGTGAGGGGAGAGGGCGGGGACAGGCCGCCTCCTGATTGGGTGTTGACGGGGTAACGTTGTCTCGGCTCTCTCCCCTCCTCCCTTCTTTTGCAGGCCGCGCTCGCGTGCGACGCCCCGCCCATCTCGCCCCACACTTCCCCGCTTTCGCTCCTCGCCTCGGATCTGTGAAACAGACGAGGAGGGCGGATCTGAAGAAAAACATGCTGCGCCGACAGCGCGCGTGCGCGCACGCGCGTGTGGGCGGGGCAAGGGCACAGCGCGTGCGCCGATGCCGGAGCGCCACGCGCTCTCCTTTCCAGAGCAGCCTCTCGGAGAGGCCCGCTCCCCCCGCCCCCCGTCTCCCTGCTGTGCGCGTGCGCGCGGGGCTCGCGTCTCTTCCCAGGCCTGGGTTCGCGGCCGTGAACTCCCGCCTCTTTGCTCTCGCCGCGCTCGGGCGCTTCACGTGTGCGGAGGCGGCCCTGGGGGCGGGCCGGCGCAGGTGGTGTGTGGGCGGCCTCGGCGCGATCTTAAATACTGGGAGCAAGTCGATGAGAGATGTCTGTTGCTCCCCCGGGAGCGTGGCCCTGGAGGTGGGACAGCATCCAGAAGTTTAGGCGAGGAGCTGGCCCTGGACTTCCCTGGTATCGGCAGTCTCGGTGGCGATTGCGCGGCGCCAAGCAGCCGCTCCCCTTGGGCTTTGCTCAAGGTTGCTGTTGTAGAACTCTTACTTGAGATTAACCGTTTAGTTTTTCTCTGGATCCTAATCTGTGGCACTTTGGATGTGGATGGGCTGGCGTGGTCCTTGTGTTTGCTTTAATTTTTTTTTCCATTAATTAATTTATTTGAAAGTCAGAGTTACACAGAGAGAGGAGAGGCAGAGAGAGGTCTTCCATCTGCTGGTTCACTCCCCAATTGGCTGCAATGGCCAGAGCTGTGCCAATGCGAAGGCAGGAGCTTCTTCTGGGTCTCCTGTGTGGGTGCAGGGTCCCAAGGACTTGGGCCATCTTCTGCTGCTTTCCCAGGCCACAGCAGAGAGCTGGATCAGAAGTGCAGCAGCTGGGACTGGAACCAGCGCCCGTATGGGATGCTAGCGCTGCAGGCAGTGGCTTTGCCTGCTATGCCACGGGCGCCGACCCCTCGCTTTAGTTTTATGTACAGTTTTGTTCCTGGGGTGTCCTTTGTACTTTCAAATCCTGGAAACCCCACATAGTCACTCCTGAAGCTTCTTTCTTGGTGCTGCTGTCTCATGTACGTGACTTACTTGCCCTCTTTCCTGTTGGGTCTGCTCTTTGTGTTCTCTGAGCCTTCCCAGACTACCTGGTTTGATGAGTGTTGGAACAAGGACGTAAGCCTTAGCCATGTTAGGGTCACATTACTCCTGCCTGCTTTCAAGAGGCCAGTTAAGTCTCACGCCCTATTATTCTCCACCCTACCCTCTGGGTTCTAACGCAAGTTTGGTAGCCAGTGGGCCAAACTTGAACCTGTGTGGGGAAACACACCTCCACCTACTGCCCTCCACCCCAGCTTCTAGCCCACCAAAGATATAAAGAGGCCCAGCCTGCTGGGGTCTGGGCCCTCTGCCATGTGTCCCTTCTGTGTGCCTCTGGCAGTTGATCACCCACCTCTGCGGATTTATTTTATTTGGGTAAATTCAGTCAGGCTATCAGTTCGTATTCTGTCTCCTCTCTCAACCTTTTTCTTCACATTTGGTGTCCCACCGGAGGTGGTACCAGTCTGTGCCCCTTTTTCTTGTAATGTGTGACGATTTTTGTTTAATTTTGAGGAACTGGTGGTGTCTAAGAGAGGCATGGAGTAGCCGTGGGGCTTATGGTACGAGCCAAGGGAAGCAGTGAGCAGCCCATTTTGGCTGTAAGTGAAGAGGAGCAAAATCTGGAACTCCAGGTGGTTGTCTTTAGTATCAGGGAATTGACCGGGACCGTATCTGGTGTTGTTGGTCTTGGAGGAGTTGCTGAAGATTTTGACAGGGCAGGTAACAGCACTGAAAGTTCCAAGACCTCATTTAGCAGCCAGGTGTATGCAGGATTGAGGAGGGAGGTCTATGGGAAACCAGTGTGTGCATGAAGTTAGGACACCCAGAATTAGTGGTGGCATCAAGTAATTTCTATAATGGGCCAGGTAATACTTCAGGTGCCACAAGGTCCAACTACTTAATTCTGCCTTGTAATGAGAAAGCAGCCATAGGCATGTGGCCTGTTCCAATACAATTTTATTTATAGGCAATAATTTCAGGTGTCATGAAATACCATTTTGAATTTTTCAATTACTTAAAGATGAGGAAGCTTTTTTTTTTTTTTTAGGCCTTCAGAAGGTCCAAAACAGCCTGCAGGCCACGATTTGCCAATCCATGAATTAGAAGTACTTTCTTGAGGCAGAGTGTACAGGAAGTGACCATATAATCTGCCCTCTAACAGAAAACTTTTGGAAATGAAAGAGGGCAGTGTTAATAACACTGGGAAAACAGGAGTGAAATGAGATTCTCACAGGCAAACCTCAATGAACAGTCACTCTAAGGTTAAGGGTAAGGAGATCACACTGACTAATCTATTGAATTTCAGATTCCTTGTGTATGTCACCCATTTTGACTTTTTATGATGAGATGTTCCTGACTATTTAATTTTTTTTAAGATTTATGTATTCTAGAGGCAGAGTTACAGACAAAGAGAGGGAGAAGTCCTCCATCTGCTGGCTCACTCCCCAAATGGCCACAAAGGCCAGAGCTGAGCTGATCCAAAGCCAGGAGCCAGGAACTTCTTCCGGGTCTCCCACGTGGGTACAGGGGATCAAACACTTGGCCCATCTTCCAGTGCTTTCTGAGGCCGTAAGCAGATAGCTGGATCAGAAAGGAGCAGCCAGGACACAAACTAGCGCCCATATGGGATGCTGGCATTGCAGGTGGAGGCTTAGTCTACTATAATAGCGCCAACCCGGACTATTCCATTCTTGAAATTCCTCTTTGGATTCCAAGATTCCTCTTTTTGCTTCTGTGGATGCTCCTCTTCTGACCTCTTTTGGCCTTCTTTTTCCTCGTGGATCACTACCTTGTGTAGAGGTCATCTGCAAGTATTTGTCATCTGCATTCTTTGCTACTATTACTCCTTTTTTCATCCTGACACTGCTTTTACCTGTTGTCACAGAGATGTGACACTGAAAAACAGCTCTCTTAAGCCCTGACTTCTCTCTGAGATATGTTAGCATAAGTCACCAAGTATTTCCATTTTCTACACATGTAGAAAACTTAGACTTCCCTACTCCTGTGGCCTGAAGCATGGCTGATGAAATGTTTTTTTTTGTTTGTTTGTTTTTGTTTTTGTTTTTGTTTTTTTGACAGGCAGAGTGGACAGTGAGAGAGAGAGACAGAGAGAAAGGTCTTCCTTTGCCGTTGGTTCACCCTCCAATGGCTGCCACGGCCGGCGCGCTGCAATGGCTGATGAAATGTGATGGGAATGTAACATGTGTCGCTTCCAAGCAAAAGCTTAAAGAGCTTGTGCACATTTATTATGTTCTCTTTCCTTTGACCACATTGGTTTTAATTTTCTATTGTCCCTTTACAAATCACCCTCAGTCTTAGTGGCTTAAAGCAGTCACTTTATTATCTCTAATGATTTTGGGGTTGACTGAGCTCATTGGCAGGTGTCTAAACTTGCTTTAGGGTGTTTCCTCTGGTTCCAGCTAGGTATTGTCTGGAGCTGAGTAATTCAGAGGCTCAACTCACATGCTAGAATGGCTGAGCCTTTCCATTCCTCTGTGTTTTCCAGAGCGTCTCCAGCAGAGTAGCCTGACTTCTCACGTGGATGCTCAAGACTCAGAAGCAAAAATGTTCAGGTTTTTTAAGTCTTGGACCTGGACATGACACATTTTATTGGTGAAAGCAGTCATAGGGCCAACTCAGTTTTATTGGGAAAGGAAATAAACTCCTGGTGGGGATTGAAGAAAGAGTAACAAAGACTCTGTGGCCATCGTTAATCTCTACTCCAACAGTGTTTGAAATGGTGACTGCTTGCATTGGCTAGGGTCCTGTCAAGACAAAGTGAAAAAGCTCCCATCCAACATAGCTTGTCATAAGAATGAAAAATAGGTCTCTTCTATTCAGAGTCACTGAAATCTTGGGGGTTGTTTGACACCAACTTTTCTGTCCTAGTAGAAAAAGTGGTACAGGAAATAGAGCACTGCTATAGCAAAAATCTAGAATGTGTGTCATTAGGTTGCTGGCGTTGTGGCATAGGGGGTTAAGCCACTGCCTGCAGCAACAGAATCCCACATGGGCGTAGGTTTGGGTTCCACTTTCAATCTAGCTTCCTTGGGAAAGCAGTGGAAGAGGGCCCAAGTGCTTAGGCCCCTGCCACCTACCTGGGAGACCCAGATGAAACTCCTAGCTCCCAGCTTCAGTCTGGCCCAGTTGTGGCTATTGGGGCTATTTGGGAAGTGAACCAGAGGGTAGAAGATTCTGTCTCTTTCATTGTTTCTTCCCCTCCTGCCCTCTAACTCTAGCTTTCAAATTATTTATAAATAAGTCTTTAAAAAATGAGGCATTGACATCTATCAATGTGTTACAATAATATTAGTGGTTTGTTGTTAGGCAGCGTTTAGTGGGGAGTCATAAATCTTCCAGTGAACCTAGCCCAGACGTCTGTGCCATGACATTCAATAAATGTTTCTTAAATAAGAGACAGTGTTGTAATTCTTGATTTTAGGAGAAAACACTTTTTTCCCATATTAGGTGTTTGTTTTTTGATTTTTTTTTCTTTATAGGCAGAGAGACTGAAAGAACTCCCCTCCACTGTTTCAGTCCCCAGGTGACCACAACAGGGCACAGAGCACAGAACAGGGAACACAATTCAGGTCTCCCAGTGAGTGAGCTGACACCACTGCCTGTCAGGGTCTGTGGTGTCAGGAGGCTGCAGTCGGGCAGAGCAGGGTGTTGAATGAACCCAGG